TTCCAAGGGTAGCCAGAGCTGAAAAGGAAAGGAGTCAGCTCATCCACTCTACAGGCACACGGTCCAGGTCACGTCATGACCAGTGCAGACTAAAGCAATCTGCGTTTGTCTTTGGCCCTGGAATTGGAAGCGAAGTGCAGCAGCTTAAAGGTCAGGGCCACATCTCTAATGAATTCTCGTGAGGTAGGTGTCAACAAAGCAAGAGCGTTCAGAGCGGCAACTTCTTGCTAGTACGACTCGAACGTCGTCTGACTTCGCAGCCTCATTAGCCACAGCAGGTCAGCAATCGGCCGGCCATTTTTGTAATGCGTTACCGCAGCTCCTCCTCATGGTCCACCCGGAGTTAGGTGGGCTTCTTTCGGGAAAGAGATCTTCAAGGAGGAGGTCCCACTTCTTACGGTAGTGATATGGACTCTGCGGGTAAAGCATGTCTTCGTATGGGAGGTTGCCAAAAATCATCGAAATCAATTTGATAGCCATAGAGTCGCTGACCCTCATGTGCTGGACAGGAAGTTTGTTGAACAGCAAAAAGAACTCGCAATCTTCAGTCCCCTCGGCGCACCCATTGAAAAACTGCAGAAGCATCCGGCTTTGAATTACCAAAGTTGCTGCACTAACAATGTTGACTTCCTCTAGTGAAAAGCATTGCCTCTTTCTCTTTGGTCGAGGTCCTGGCTTTCGAGCTTCTCCTGCCCTCAGAGTGCTTGTTCTTGAGCAGGCAGCGACATTCAAACGATCATTTTTGGTCCAGCCGACAGCAGTGGACACTGCGGCCGCTAGCATTAGGCACAAGCCTCTAGGATAGGGCTCGGCTATCTGTGTCCATGGAAGCTTCCTCGCGCTGCAGGTGCCTCGCAGTTGCAAATGACGTTGCGCACATTGACACCACATGCGCACTCCAGCTAAGGCAGTGTTTGTCGCTATGCGCGTTGGTTTCTTCCATCGACAGCCGAACCGACAGAAGCACAGGCGGAACAAAGTCAAGCTCCGAGAATCCCTGTGCCTTCTCCACCGCCGCTGTCTCCACCACCATGAAGTGTCTGGATTCATTCTCCACTCACCAAACGACGCCAAACTGCTCGCACAGTGCTATCAGGTCAGCTAGCCAATCGTTGTGTGAGTTCCCCTGCCTAACTTTCAGCCGCATGGCCTTTCTGAGGCCTGGTATGCCTCTCGGAAACCTCGTGCTTCGGACAGGGGGCGTCACTGCCACAGAAAAACTAGAGCATATAGGTGCTGCCCCTAGGGACAGGACAGCTCCACTGCGGATGAGCAATTCGATCTTGCTTCTGAGCTCAGGATCTAACAGGTCTTCACTTGGGCATCGCTTCCAAAGTCAAAACCCAAGGCACGTCCAGCTTCACCATCTGTCGGGCTACACCGCCCCTTCCAGAAAAAAGATCCAGTGCTCCAGCTTTCATGAAATCAGGCTCACCTTCTGTCACAACAAATTGGCTTTTCTTGAAGACCTCAGGACTGCAAGCGCAGCTTCGCCAAAGGGGCAGCTGCAATCTTCATCACTCGAAGGTGAGGACGACTGTGCCGATCGACGTGCACGCACGGCGGGCGCCTCCTGGTGCAAAGGGTCATTTCTGACAAGTCTCTGGGGGCGCAAATCGATGGCATCATGGCTGCAAAGCTCTCCAAGATTAACGCCAGAAAAATCATCGGTTGTTCCATGCCGTCGCAGCCATTGCCCCAACTCAAAGTCGCTCCCTTGCTCCACTGCTCGCCACCAAGGAGGTTTGGTAGTTGCGGCGGTCCGAACTTGTCTATCTCGAGTGGGATCATCAGCAGGATTGTATGCCGTGTCATAGTACATGTGCAAGCTATAGATGTCTGCGCCCAAAGCAGGCCCCAAAAAACGACGCATCTCATTATTCAGTGCTCGGCTGGACGATCGACCCTTCACCAGAGCCCCTAGCGCCACTTGAGAGTCAAGCCCTGAGAGGACTCGAACCGATTGGCGTCTGGACGCCAACCTCTTCTCTTCTCGAAGATAGGCTCGAAGCCCTAGTATGTTGATGTGGGTGGGCCGAGACACAAACTCTCTCCAGAGCACCTCATAGTCCAGTGCACGAGCCATCAAGTTCCACAAGGGGTGCCCTCTGATGCGCTCACCCGGCACCTCATCTTCAACCTCCAGGATGCCGTGCACTCGGTCGCGAGCTCTAGAGCTGGGGAGTAATTTCGTCCAAATGCCTTTCTTCAGCGCATGCCGAGACACTTCTTTGACCACAGCTGCAGGGCAAGGTGCGGCCACCGCCATGCAATCGCCGGACGCGTCAGTGGCTATCACCTGGTTCAAGTAAGTGGCCCGCAAATTCACAGCAGCTAAGGGTCCAAGCACCACCAGCACAGTGAGCTCTGCAATGATGTCAGGGGAGAGTCTCACTACAGCTTTTTGGTCCTCTACGCACAACGGCTCAAAGATGACATCCAAGCAGCAAAACATTCTCCTCCGAATACCATACAATGAAACCCAAGACCCTGCAAGTGCTTCAAGCAACCCAATAGTAGCAAGCCCCAATGAAACAACTCTCATAGTAATGAAAGCAACCGGCCAAAAGCGCAAAGAAGAAGACCTAATCAGCCCTTTGTCACCGTCGACCTCTAGCCCCCAAAAACGAGCACAAACTTGCTTCTTGAAGGTTTTGCCAGGGTTGTGAATCAAGCCAGCGCGCCTATAAGCCGCTTCAGCATTTGCCACCCGTCGATCAGACTCCAGTTCACATTCATCTAGGGGGAGCTCGCGAATGACCTGCTCTAAGAAGATCAAATCGTCAACTATAACCCCCACTTGGAGCAGCCCTCTGGGCAAAGAACCATGCAGCGTTATCAACTCATCGACAGCAGCTACACCATGTTGAAGACACAACCCAATATGGCCTGCTTGTGCAAACTCTACGGCCATGGTGTCGCCCATGGCCAACGTGGATAAGCCAACCCAGACTGGGTCCTCATGCCAAGAAAAAGCCGGGCCGAAGATTTCCTTCGCTTCTTACGCTCACAGGGGATGCGAGGGCATTACGTTCGCATCTCTCTTGTCCAACCGTGAACTGGTAGAAAAAATCTTTCAGGTCCAGCCCACTGCAAACCAGAATCTTGTCATCTTCCAGCAGCAAGTGACTCAAGGCGAGTCCCGAAGCCATGGTTTTACACCGTCCCTTAGTAAGGAGATTTGCAGGTCGGCCATCCAGTATCATGCGGTCTCTGTGCTGATCTTTCACCACTGCAAAGAGGCCAGAGCAGTAGCCATGATGAAAACTGCTGCTGTCAATTGGCCGGAGCCGGCCAGAGTCAGCCAGCTTCCTATACAAAGCCACCTTCTCTGAACTGTTGGCCCGTACTTGCACCAACGGCGGAAGCTCTGAAACTTCATCTGGGTGATACCCTCGTGAGATTGGACGCACATATCGTTCTGTTGTAGAAGGGTCGAAAAAAGGAACCGGATCAAATGCAGGTGCGGGCGGGAAGTTCAACCTTTTGGCAATCAAGGGCTTCGCCGTGACTACCGGGTTTCTGTCAGCTCTTCCCACCACTCGGCCTGCACGCAAAAGTTGTGACTCTGCTGAGCATCCATCTCTGCTAGGCTTCATGAAAGAGTAGCCTCCAAACTCACCATGCAAGGCAACAGCTGCTCTGGCCAACGCATCCAGGCTATCTTGGAAATCTTCAACTTTGCCAGCTGCTCGGCCCATGTCTGCTGCCGTCACGAATTCTGCCGCACTACTGTCCACTGTTTAGCCTTCAGCCTTCTCCCAAGCCGCAAAAATAGCGGCGCTGCCGCAGGACAACCCAATAGCATCCAGTCAAGCGCCGCCACTTGGAGGCATGTCAGTCGTTTCAAATGAGCCCTCGGAACACGGGAACCAGCTGCACGTCTGAATACCTCAGGGTAAGGGAGCGGAAGTGGCCATGTAGAGGCACCCGGCATTGATGTCGCTAGATCGTCTCTAGCAGGGCTCTGTACGATGGATGACAAAAAACCTTGAAAGCCACTCTTGGTCTTCAGCAGCAATCTTGGCAACGAATTCAAAAAACCAGGAACAAAAATGGTGGAAGCTCCGGCTCCGGGCAACTTTTCAAACAGGTTGTCCTCAAGCTCACCACCAACAGGGCCGTCTCGGCCCGTCATGCATCCTGGCCCTTCTCGGATCCCGCAGCAGCTTTGGTCTTCGCCTTGGCCTTTGCGCGTCTCTTCGCCTCCCAGCTCATGCTCTCCTCTGACTCTTCCTTGCCCGTCTTGCCGAGGTTCTTCCCGATGTTCTTCCTCCTTGTCAAAAACTCCTCTTGATCTCGAAGATGGCCTAAGGTCACCTCTGCCCAGCGGGAATCTAGCAGGCGACTGAACGGGCTCTCCCCGTCCTGCACGTTTGGACCTTGGTGTGTTGCAAGCACCGACATGGGAGGAATCTGCTCCAAACTGAGCTCGGCTGCAAGCGTCCATGAACCCTTGTCTATAGCTGCCTGATCCAGTTGCACCAGAGCCAAACAAGCACGAGCCCTCGCTAGAGCAATCTTTCCAGCGACCATAGCATCGATGATTCCGGCAAAGGCCCAAGCACAATGCGCCCCACTCGGGCATTGAGACCCCAAGGTGGCTGACCAGGCCCCAACGTCTGCGAGGACAGGTCTTCGTACATCAGTCGCTCGATGCAGCCATGAATCTCCTCCGGATGATCGGTCAAGGCTGTCCGCAGTGCTCTGCGTGCTGCCGCCGTCTTCTTGCCCGCCCCAAGGCTGAACCCGTCGGATGCAGATGAACCCTGTGCGCTGTCCAGCGCCAAGTCTAGTTTCGAAGCTCCTTTCGCCCTCTTCTTGTCCTCTGCTAAAAAGGAAACAATGCTCGTCAGCTTGGAAAGCGTGGCGGCCATGGGGTCCGCCGGAACTCCACCAGACTCTTCTTCTGCAGCCAGACGCTGAGCGCCTGCGTCCTCCTCCTCTTCCGACAGGGGGTCGCCCAAAACAACACTCGGTCGCTCGTCTACAACTCTCTTCGCCTTGACATTCTGAGTCACCAGTTTCTCCATCATGGCCAAACTGCGAGTGGGTATGCCAGCTTGGAGAGCAGCCTCCACTACCCCTGCATCCAGGTGAGGGAAATGAACTTTCGGTTGAGCGTCTTTGGACTTGACATCCCTGACGACCGCCGTCTTGCGAAGGGCAGGCTGACGAGGTGCAGTGGTTTGCTCGCCGCCCGGAACTTTCGTGAGCAATTGGTGCATTCCCTCGGAGAGGGTCTCCAACGTGGCTTCGATCGCATCGACACGCGCTCCCAAGCTTGCCGACCCAGATCCTTCGTCGCCCTGAATCAGCTCCGGCTCGAGTGCTTCGCCGGGGTCGCTCACTCCATCGCCAGCAGAGAAGAACGCAAAATGGTCGTTGGCCGCAGACACCAAGCTCTCTATCGCCGGGATGACATAACCGCCCTCTACTACACCAAAAGTGAAGCTGCAGTCCTCGTAATCCGTCAGCGGCTGCAGGCGTACTAAGAGATCCGGCTGAAGATAGCCGACCCAGCATTTGATGTAGTGTTCCGGGCTCAAAATCACTTTGTCCGAAGCGTTGGCGGCCAGTACTTCCAACACAGCGGGCTTCGAGAGCGCACCAGCCTGCATCTGTCTGCGGCTCACACTTCGATGCCATGCAGGGAAGGGAACCGCCACAAGAGGTTTGTTTTCAAACTCAGCAATCAACAGCAAGGGGAAGGCCACGTCGCCTTCCTCAAGGTCGTCAAAGTAGAGCTGAACCACAACTTCTTCACTTGCCACAAGCCTCCCGTCTGTCAACAAGAAGGGAGGCGGAGCGCTGCCCTCTGCAGGCAGCACCCCTTCCATCACTGATCAAAGTTCACAGGCCACTGCAGCTCAGCTGCAGCAATGGCCACCTTTGCTTCCCTGGCTGAAGGGAACCCACAAAAAATGGAATCACCAACGTCCTCGTGCTGCTTGACCCAGCCCTTGCACGAAGTCCAAGTCTTAAACACTCGAACAGGGGAATGAACCTGACCGTGATAATCTCGAACAACCACCCAAAGCCGACAGGCAAGAGGAATCTTGTCCCTCCCGCTGGAACCACGGTGGCTGCCAGTCAGGCAGCGGGTGAAGAACCTGCCAATGCCAGCCGCGATCTCTTCGCGTTGTGCCCAGCTGAGGTCCCGAGCCGCCGGCAGAGCTGAGGTCGAAGGCCCACCTGACTTTTGCTGCGAGCAATCTGGTGGGGAACTAGGATAACCACGAAGGCCACCAGGGGATCCGCTCAGGTGTGCTTGCCTAGCGCCCACGACCGAATAGGACTCGTCAGACAGGCGGTCCTCTTCTCCCCGATCGCTTTCTGAGCTGCGCCTACCTCGCTGCTCAGCCACCTCTCGTCTCAGTCGAGTGACAGTCAACGAGAGCTTGTCAACTGCCTCACGTAGCTCGCTGACCTCAGCCTCGAGGTCAGACAGCCTCTTGCCCATCAAAGGAGCTTATACAGCTCCTTCCGCCGAACTTGACCCGAGCCAGCAGTCACTGAGTGGACCCACTCAATCACAGCCCAACGCAACGTCACCAGCCACTCGATGCAAAAGTAAAGAACCAAACCGCAGAACAGTCCTAACAAAAATGAACCAGCGTGGAAATCTGAGGGTGCAGGTGCTTGGCGGTACAGCGACAGAAGATCTCTATGATCCCAATCCAATAGCTTGAGGGCAAGGGCGAGCGATGATCCGGCTGACACTCCTGTGGTCACCGGCCTAAGGCTCATGGACTTGATCCGAGAAAGCTAGCACCATTCCATTGAAAACATTGAAGGCATATATATATATATATATATTATATGGATCTATGATGGATCGATTATGGTGTTCACCATGCTCTCATGGATGGTTGTTCAGATGTTTGCCGCAGAAATCTGTGATCCGCAGGGTATGACTACTGCAAAAGACTTGAATGGGTGTATGCGCTGGGGAGAACGATCACTATAGCAATGTATAGCCACTGTATAGCAATAAAATCAATGGATACAGTGACAGGAAAAGAAAGGTCTGTCAACTACCTCAGGTTTAAGATTATGTTTATTTTTTATATGTGACTAGTGGCGTTCATTGGTGTCACAGTGTCACTGGCACGGCGCAGCTCCAAGTTCATGGCTCACCTCGAACTTGTACGGACAATGATCTACAACAAGAAAACATGTCGCTACGTTCGTAACAAGGGCAAACAACTACCAGTCACAAGAAGCTACTAATTCGTAGTGATGCCATTGTTGCTTACTAGTAGCTTCTTGTGACCAACACCCAGCTTTACGGCTCTTTCCAAAGGGTTAGACCGTCCAGCCGCTGGAGCCAGGTCGCAAGGAGCAACAGCTCCGTGGATGCCAAGCCAGTGAGTCTGCTAGTCTGCAAGTACCCTCCCTGGAAAAAGGACGCATGAAAGTCTGGGTTTTGCTTAAGGAACCTGGAAAACAAACAATAACTTATTCCACAGGATATCCGGGATTGACCCGGAAACGGGGAAAAAGAAGCATCACCGTAACTAGGCAAAACCAGGAGGTAGACGGACTTCACCTCCTGTTTGGTCTTCGGATTTCATGGTCAAAAAACCAGGTGTCATCCGGTCTCCACTGCAGCCCATGGAGAGACGTCGACGTAGGTTTTTTCAAGGCCACGTCTCTCCATTCTAAGGCCACTGGTGGTTTCTACATGTTTCTACCACCCCCACAATAACCCAGCTGTCGCATCGATTGAGAGGCTTTTGGCATCGATCATAAAGGCACCAGGAGGAGGCTTACAAGGTGAAACTCAATGTGGCAGACTCCGGAAATGCATCGATATCCAGGCCAAGAGTGACGGATGTGGGGATGAACACTTCTCGCACGGAGTGGCAGCCTTTGAAGGCACGAGCTGCAATGATAACCACAGAGTTGGGGATCATTAGCTCTGCCAAAGAGCTGCAGTTCTCAAAGGCACTGACTCCAATATGAGTCACCGAGTTCGGAATTGTCACTTCAGCCAGTGAAATACAGTCCTGAAAGACACCCTCATTGAGATACTTGATCGAATCTGGCAGTACAACTCTTCGCAATGAGCTGCAGCCTCTGAATGCACGAGCCCCAACTAAAATCACAGAGTTGGGAAGCCTCACTTCTCTCAATGCGCTGCAGCCACTGAAAGCAAAGCGTCCAATCTCAGTCACCGCATTGTTCAGCGTCAACTCCATCAACGCGCTGCAGCTTTCGAAGGCACCCTCTTCCATGCGAACCGCACCACTGGAACCGGGAATCGTCAAGGTTCGCAATGAACTGCATCCTGCAAAGGCATGAACTCCGATGCAAGCGATCGAGTTCATCCTCAACTCAACGAGGGAACTGCAGTCTTGGAAGGCCTCTTCTTCAATTTCACTCACTGCCTTGGGGATCGTCATCTTTTTCAAGGACTTGCAGTCACGAAAGGCTCGATAACCAATGCGAGTGACGGAGTCCGGAATTGTCAACGTCTTCAGCGAGCTGCAGTCACGGAAGGCTTCACGATCGATGAGAGTCACAGAGTGCGGGATCATGATCTCAGTCAGTGAGATGCAGTCTTCAAAGACACACTTGTCAATGCGGGTCACCGTGTCGGGAAGGTGGACTTTCACCAAATTGCGACAACCTGCAAAACTAAAGCCGTAACCGTCTTCCTCCAACTCTTCGACGTCGCTCGGGATCTTCACGAAGAGCAAATCTGAAGCAGGAGCAGAGCGAAAGCCATCGTCATCATACTCAAAGCCATCATAACATTCCACCGGCTCGATGGTCCGGAGCAGGACCTGCACCTGAGAACACAGCAGCCGTGCCATAGTCACAAAGTGTATTAAATAGGGTAAATGTCCGTCAATGACCTTCCGAATCTGTGATTTTCGTGTTCACAACATCTTCAGAACACCACCATTGCCACCGTCCTGAACCCTGAGTTCCAACACGAAAGAGACAGAAGTAGCTAGAAATGGCTTCTCGGTCCTCGGTCTCTGTCTGGCATGTCACCCCCACCTCTGCACCATTCGAAAGACCTGCTTCAAGCAGTGTCTTGTGATCGTCGCTCAATGGTTCCATCGCAAAGATTAAGTCCACCAGTACCAATTTCTGCGCGGACCCTTCCTTGGGGACACTCACATCCCTCAGAAGCTCTTTCAACTCGCGCACAGGGGTGTCCTGCAGATGTGGAAGAGAGAACACGCAGGGGTTACATAGCATGTGGTCCTTTGGCTACGTAGCTGTCTTACCAGGGTGCATCAATTGGGACAAAAGGGTGTAAATTGCTCGAGATTGCGATGCAAAGTTCAACTAAGCTTTCCAAATCAGGGCCAGTCTTAGGTCATCCTTCTTAAAGAAAGCTGACAAGACCGTGAATGAAGATTAGCAAACCGGAAAGGAGGAGATGGGGAAGTTGATTAATAGCTACACCTGGCTCCTATCGTCCCAGAACTGTCCACTGGCCTCTCCATCGGTCTACTGCGAACCAAAAACAACCGAAAACCAACACAACCAAAAGACACGAACATGTTGAAGGGCGCCCCACGTCGACGTAAACCTTCTCCAAACTGACCTCCCTAGCTAGGACCTCGTGGAACCTGCCTTTCGCTTCCATCCCCTCGGCGCGATGGCGCGTGGACTCGTGCCGTCCGGCAGCAGTTCCACTTCATGGACTCGCCCATTCAGCTGCCGCGCTTGGATCTTCCACGCTTGCCGGGGCCGATGGGCAGGAGGAGTCGGACCGAACAGCAGCTTCCTCTTCATGGCCGATTCTGCGGCGCCCCAGCCGAAGTCTGGAGGCTTTTGAAAGCGATGTTTCGTGAAAGATGGGCTGCGGAGCGGATGGTTTAGTCAGCTTAGGTAGGTGAAGAAGAGCCTGAAACTGCAGCTCCACCTCTTCCTGAGTCTTTGGGCAAAAAGGGAAGAAACACCTCATTCCCAAACCATCCATGGGACTGGTTTGGAATGCATGCCACCCCACCGAACCCTCCAACGACCACATCGGCCAGTCCCACGGATGGTCTGAGACTGTTGTCTTCAGGACATGGTCGTCCCAACGCACTGTCTGACGGACAGCCGGGGCAGTGAGCGAGCAAGGTGTGGTTTTCAAAGAAGTTCGTGTTCGTCACAAGCCGACAGAAGCGGAAACACTTGCATTTCTGGGGCAGCAGGGTTGACATCATCTTTCTTCCACTTCAGCTGGTGCAACAGGGCAGCAAATTGAAGATCTCTCGGACTTTTCACACTGGGCAAGCGGCTTGCTTCATGAACTTCAAGAGGAAAGTCTTTGACCATGTTTCACCAAAAAAAGGATGAGAAAGTACCCCTCCTTCTAAAACGTTCTAAAACCAACCTTCTGCGTCCGCACAAGTCCATGTCCGTGATCAAGAAGCATTCAGCATTCAGCCGGTTCCCGATGTTGCGGGGTTAACACACATTGCGTGTGGTGAATTCATTCTCCCCGCTGAAAGGCCAGGCATCACTTGCGCATCGGTCCCTTGAAGCTATCCTTACTTTCGTCCAGTCGAACCCAGGTCTAACCGGGTCTTTTACATGACCACGTCCAGTCAAATGAGGTCATTGACCTGTAGGGTGTCAATCCATTTGCAAGGTGTCAATCCCAGACACGACCTGTTTGGGGCTGCCATAGGACTGCCGCCCCAGACAGACCCCCAAATCAACCGCCCCTGGCCCTTTCTCGGCAGTCCTATGGCAGTCCCACAGAGGTGTCAACTGCAGTGGTGTCTTCATGCAGTCGACTGCGGCACCCGGAACACGCCTTGGCACAGCTCTCATCCAGGCAGGAAAACAGACCTGCAAAGGGCGCCGTGCACACCGGCCGGGCTCCCGGTGAGCTCGGTGTCTGCGTGAAGATCCGCGAGATGTGGTGTGTTTTTCGCGTGAAAGGATACCGGAAACCAACACAGAATCTGCTTGGGAGGTTCAACTCATGGGCTCCAAGATATATTCGTCAGTGGATTGGTTATCGTCCCTGTCGTAGAGGTTTAAAGACAAACCTCCGAGACCCACCATTGACTCTCGACTATAGACGACGTATATAATATAGACTATATAGACCGACCTATATAAATCCCACACACTCCATGTATGCCATATATGCCTACATTGACCCCCCAAACCACCCCAATGTAGGCATATATGGCATACATGGAGCGTCTGGGAATGAGTGACGAGACCTCAACGACGTGACCCTCTTAGGTTGACCATTGATTGGTGTTGATGCGATGCACTTTCTGTGTGCATCCCAGAACCCCTGCAAACCAATAGCTGCAGCTTTGAATAGATTTGAGGACTCCAGTCAGCTGCTACGGTTGAGGGACTCAGCCATTTTGCACGGTGAAAAGGGATCCAATGGACTCTGTTGTTTTTGCAAAGGTTTGACATGAAAGATCCCCCATGCATTGGTTGAGGATCCCCATGGACTCCGTTAAAAGGTGTTGTTCGGGATCCCCGCGGCGGCAGGATCTCCGATGATTCTGCCGCCGATCTTGCTGGGCTACCGATTGGAATCCGCCCTCAGATATGCTCATCATCTTCCAACCTCTTGATCGGTGGTGTAGTAGAGACCCCAGTCACACAACCAACGAAATCCATTGGGCCTGGTAGGTCCCCCCCATGAAAATGACCACTGATCTGTTTGGGCAGGCAGAACAACGGTCCAATCCTCTAGCAAGCGGTTTGCCGGGGAGAGCAACGGTCCAATGAACTTGTTGCAACGGAAGACCCTGTTGGGCATACGTAACAAAACCTGGCAAAGTGCCGTTTTCATGAGTGTGAATCAAAGTTAGGCACCACAAGTTGCCAGGTTTGTAGAAGATCAACATCCTCAACAGGTCTTCTGATGTGTAGACTCAAACGAGTCTAAACGGACCTCAGCTGCCTGCAAATCTCCTCCAAAGATCCTCAAGTCTTCAGTCTGGTGCTTAGTAAGGAATGAGAGAATGGATTCGAAGGTATCCAAAGTGGAGGGGTCATTCCCTCATGCCCTACTAAACAGGAGTTCCCAAGTGAATCCAACTCCACGTCCCATCCATGCGTTCCCCCTCATTCCCGACGCCCGCCCGCCGGCACGTCGTTGTGGGGGCTCTCGACCGGCACTGAAGTGCCGATGTCTGCTGCATCCATGTCTGGAAAGTTCAGTAGTAGATCTAGGTCTTCAAACACCCTGGCACCCAAATAAGCAATATACACATGTCCTCCAAATAGATCAGAAAGCATATTCCAAATACATGTTGAAAAATGTTGAAAGGGATGTTATTCTTTTCTATCGCTTTGGTAATGAAGTCCCGCCTAGGGGGGTAGTATAGGTGAAGGTAACCCCTATCATGGGACTTCTGTATGATCGTTTTGGGAATCGCTATATACTCTTTAAGGACCCCAATGCATGATTGACTAGATCTGCATCGCCACGCGGCACGCGGTCCGGTCGCGCCTGCTTGGCCATCCAGCGCCACGCGTCGGGCGGTGTCGGGCCGCATGGGACGATCGAAATGCACCTGCAGTGCCACCAAGGCACCTCGGTCTGAGTAGGCGATTGGTCGGTGGGAAGGGATTCGATTGGGGCAGGAGTGATGGTCCGCCGTGAGCAGTTCTTTTGGGGTGGCTTTTTGGGTGGGAACCAAGTGACCAAGGACAAGTGTTTTCCGTGTTGCCAGGGATTTGGAGCCAACAGTGCGACTGCTATGAGGGGTAAACCGGGAGTCGTCGTCGGAAAATCCTGAGCTTTTTGGAAACCACCAAGCTCTGCATGGGACCTGTTGTTGGACTCAACGTCCACCTTGCTACCGGTCTTCATGTTTTTGATCCTGATTTGCAACACACTGACCAAAACAGAGCTCCTCAGGTTGTAGACTCCTGGGACAAGCGAAAGCAAATGGAAGCGCGGGCCACGTCCACGCTGTTCCCAAGGAGTCTAGTTGCGACGGTTAGCGGTTCAACCATAATGAATTCTCGGGTCTATAATAGATCTATGTTGCGCTTGAATTCGTCGTCAACCACTGGACTAATTCATCTCGCATCTGCAACTCGCATTGGTCATGTGCAACCCACAGGTCCAAGCACCTCACATATATAGGTCTGAACCAACCCCACCGGCTCGACGATGCTAGGATCGGGGCTCCTTCCGCCGGGCTCCTAGGCCACCGCACCGGGCATAGCACCGGTCAACCGCGCGCCGTGGCGCGGCGTCACCGACTGGACGATGGGCGGGAGGCGCCTCGTCCGCGGCGGAAACGGTTGAGAGACCCGGGAGCACCCGGACCCGGAAGACCTGGGGTACCCAACTGGGATAGCCCAGTTGGGTTCTTCAACCTCTCTTGGGGGAGAAGAGAACTGTGTGCTTTTGCGGAACAAACACATGGAGAAACCGCGGTTGAAAAACCGCGTGAAAGGAAGTGGGGGGTATATTAGCAATGATGAGTTGCAGCGGCTCAGCGTAGAGGATTTGTGGATTGAATGCTTCAAATTTATCTTGATTCAATAGAAACTATATATACCAGCACCCTCCAACAGGTTTCCTTTGGAGGGTTGTTAGGCCCTAACAGGTTTCAATTGGTGACCTGTGAAGTCGGTGCTTCGAATAGATGAAATTAGGGTGCTGGTAGGTGCTTTTACACGATTGGCCTTTGTTTTCACATCATGTAGTCAGGGTCACAGGCCCATCATACCGCCCAAGCAGACCACTTCCCGGAACCAATCGAAAAACCATTGAAACATCTATCGGATTCAAGATTCTGAAAGATTGACTGGAAGGCCCCCTCAGTTTCATTTAGTTAAGTCTAAGGATTTGAATGGAACAAAAATAACTATATTTGCCTAGTCGATGGACAAACACAGGTCAACTTCAGAAGCAGCTTCATATGTCGCGGCTTCTACATGAATTCCAAGGCATGCTTCGCTCTCATTTTAGCCAATTGTTAGGGAAAAAAGGATCCCGGCACTCAACATGTCGAAAAAAGGAACAACAACACCACGCTCTGGCCGGTCATTGCAAGGGACCGACCGCTGTGTGGGGGCAAAAAACCAGCGCGCTGGGGGGGGGGCGCTCTCCGAGGCGCTCTCCTCTTCTCCCGAACGCACCGCGTTCTCGTCTTCGTCTCGCCTCAAGGGCGCCGGTGCAAACACGAAGGCGTTCATCGGTGGGACCATCATGAGCACGTGGCCCTCCGCCTCGGGACCGACGACGACGAGATCGGCGGATGGAGAGCGGAGCACGACGGCGAAGCACCACGGAGACGTGCCGAGAGTGGCGGGAAAGAAGCGGCGAGAGCGCGTGTGATTGATAGAAAACATCTAATTATATAATTATACTTATTGTACACACACATTACTACATTATGTGGCCTCAAGCCACTAGATAGGGTAAATCAGCCCCTTTGGTTTCTAAGCTGGCTCCTACACTGCCGCATACCAAACCTACACGGCCACTTGAGGATCTCACAAAATCTTACACGCATAGGCATAGGTGCGTGGGCTGGTGCAGTGGCTCTGTTTCATGCCTTACTCCTTACTCACCCGTTTGTCGCCTGATGTTTGTCGTCAAGCACCTGTTTGTCGTCTGAGGTGGTAGACCAGGTCTCTGGAGGTCTCTCAGGTGCCGCCCATTGAGGATGAACTATTCCCAGACACACTCCATGATGGGACTGCCATATATGCCGCCTACATTGACCCCCAAAACCACCCCAATGTAGGATATATGGCATACATGGAGTGTCTGGGATTGGTCTGGAAAGGAAAACAGAACA